AGTGATATGCCCACCTCAGCCTCCCAAAGGCCACAGTTATTTCAAGGTGGGTGCTGGGATTATAGGTATGAGCTACAGCACCCACCTTGAAATAAATTATAACTGTATTTTCCTTTCTAAGCACAGTAGTACATCAAAAATTATCATTTTTTGGTGGTGGTGTTTTGTTTTTTTTCTTTTTGAGACAGAGTCTCATTCTTCACCCAGGCTGGAGTGCAGTGGTGTGATCTTGGCTCCCTGCAACCTCCGCCTCCATGCCTTAGCCTCCCGAGTAGCTGGGATTATAGGCGCACACCACCACATCCGAGTAATTTTCTGTATTTTTAGTAGAGACAGGGGTTTCGCCATGTTAGGCAGGCTGGTGTCAAACTCCTGGCTTCAAGTGATCCACCTACTCTAGCCTCCCAAAGTGCTGGGATTACAGGTGTGAGCCACCCTGCCCAGCCTAAAAATAAGATTTTTAAAAACATTAATGACCAGCATTTCATGAAAACTTAGTTTGTCAGGCACAGTTCTATTCACTTTACATGAATTAACTCGATCCTAAAAATCCTGGGATAGATACGTACTATTATTGTCTATTTCAAAGAGAGAAAAGAAAGTACTTTATCTAACCTAGTAAATGGAGGAGTCAGCCGGGCACGGTGGCTCACATCTGTAATCTCAACACTTTGGGAGGCCGAGGTGGGCAGATCACTTGAGGTCAGCAGTTCAATACTAGCCTGACCAACATAGTGAAACCCCATCTCAATAAAAAATAAAATAAAAAAGTAAATGGAGGAGTCAGGATTTGAACCCAGGCAACACTGACTCCAGAGCCCACATTCTTAACCACTTCCCAATGAAATATAACTAGGACACTCTTGAGCATATATTTTAATGGCTTTGAGGTCAAGTGGACTTAAATTTTAATACAGGTTCAGCCACTTATTAGGTATATTATTTGGGGCAAACTTAATCTCTTATGTCTCAGATTCTTCATGTATAGAATGGAGATAAATAAATGGGACAATGATGTAAAACCATTTAGTAAGTGGCTGGTAATGTAAACTAATTATTAAGCCCTTACTATAAGTATTTTATTTCTACTACTTTCATGAATATACAAAAGCAGTCAATCCTATGATGTCTAACTTGGGAACTCCAAGCTAAAATATCAAAAGACCTTCTTTCTTCATCCATAATTCTTTCTTTCCTACTATTCCAGATATATATGTACTATTCCAATAATCTTATTTTCCATAAGAAGTTAAAAAATTTACATTGGATGAGGTTAGTAGTAAATTAGATTTTTTAATTTTTAAAATAATACAGACAGGGTATCCCCATGCCCAGGCTGGTCTGGAACTTCTGTGCTAAAGAAATCCTCCCCGCTCAACCTCCTGAAGTGCTGGGATTACAGGTGTGAGCCACCATGCCCAGCCATCAGTCTTAAATTCAATCAGAGATACCTAGTAAGTTTGGTAAAGACAACAGTTACACTCTTGATGACAACTTCCAAAGATTCTGGGCATCGCTCAAGCATTTAACATATATATGTATATATATTTTTTAAGAGATGGGATCTCACTATGTTGCCCAGGCTGGAGTGCAGTGGCTATTCAAAGGCACGATCCCACTACTGTTCAGCACCAGAGTTTTGACCTGTTCCGTTTCCGACCTGAGCCAGTTCACCCCTCCTTAGGCAACCTGGTGGTCTCCCGCTCCCGGGAGGTCACCATACTGATGCCAAACTTAGTGGGGACACCCAATCTGCATAGTGCACTACAGCCCAGAACTGGACTCAAGTGATCCTCCACCCTCAGTCTCCTGAGTAGGTGGGACTACAGGCACACACCACCATGCCCAGCGCCTTTAATGTATTTTTTTAAATCAAAGTAGTTATCTAAACCTTTATTTAATCTTTTTTTTTTTTTTTTGAGACGGAGTTTCGCTCTTGTTACCCAGGCTGGAGTGCAATGGCACGATCTCAGCTCACCGCAACCTCCGCCTCCTGGGTTCAGGCAATTCTCCTGCCTCAGCCTCCTGAGTAGCTGGGATTATAGGCATGTGCCACCATGTCCAGCTAATTTTTTTGTATTTTTAGTAGAGACAGGGTTTCACCATGTTGACCAGGATGGTCTCGATCTCTTGACCTCGTGATCCACCAGCCTCGGCCTTCCAAAGAGCTGGGATTACAGGCTTGAGCCACCGCACCCAGTCTATTTAATCTTTTTAAAAATACTGAGTTCAGGCCAGGCTCAGTGGCTCACACCTGTAATCCCAGCACTTTTGGAGGCAGAGGCGGGTGGATCACCTCAGGTCAGGAGTTCGAGGACAGCCTGGCCAACATGGTAAAACCTCGTCTCTACTAAAAATACAAAAAATTAGCCAAGCATGGTGGTGGGCACCTGTAATCCCAGCTACTCAGGAGGCTGAGGCAGGAGAACAACTTGAACCTGGGAAATAAAGGTTTCGGTGAGCCGAGATCACACCTTGCACTCCAGCCTGGGCAACAAAAGCAAAACTACACCTCAAAAACAAACAACAACAACAACAACAAAAAACCCAAAAAACAAAAAAACTGAGTTCACAACATCTCTTGGGTTTTACAAGATACCTATCTCTTGCTCTTATTTGTCCTTTCACTACTTATTTCAAGCTTCAAAGAGTTCTTTATTAGTAGTGCTCCCACTTTTTATGATTTATATGGTTAGATCATATCCTCCTTCAATCTCCATTTTTCCGGATAATATTGTTTTTGTAGTCATATGAAAGTCTCTCCATTTTCTCCATCTACTTACAATTTCCTTGGACCGTTTCTGTTTTTGAAGCATTTTTGCTGAGATAATCGGATGGCAAGAACACTGGGCTAAGAGCCATAAGTCCTCACTCTGCAGTCTCGTCTCTCAGATACTTTATCTGAGAGGATCGCACCTGATAAATTTGTAATAAGCTCCTTTATATCTCTAAGCCTCATATATCTAAGACTCCAGACCTTCCAACTAAAAATAATGTGGTATTCTAACAATTACCCTCAAATTTTTACTCCACTTAGCCAGAGAGGGGCAGGAAGATCAGATTAAAGGCCAGAGGAAGAAACAACAATCAGGAAGCTAAAGGCTATAGAAGGAAAGACATGATATTTTATGAATCAACAGAAAAATATTCAGTAAGAGAAATCAGACACCAAAGAGTCTGAAACACATGGCCTAATTCTAACCTCATCATACATATCTGAAGAGAGAATAAGAAATACAAAAATGTATATACTATTGTCCTTATCAAAGTTATTAGGTATCTCTGTTACAGAATTTTTTTTTTTTTTTTTTTTGAGACAGTCTCACTCTGTCACCCAGGCTGGAGTGCAGTGGCGATCTCAGCTCATGGCAACCTCTGTCTCCAGGGTTCAAGTGATTCTCCTGTCTCAACCTCCAGAGTAGCTGGGATTACAGATGCCCGCCACCACGCCCCACTAATTTTTGAATTTTTAGTAGAGATGGGGTTTCCCCAGGTTGGCCAGGCTGGTCTGGAACTCCTGATCTCAGGTGATGCACCTGCCTTGGCCTCTCAAAGCGCTGGGATTACAGGTGTGTGCCACTGCACCTGGCTTCTGCTACAGAATTTAAGACTGACGTAACTACCAATCTCATCCAATATCTTTCGTCTTAAGGAAAATGAGATTTTTGGAATAGTATGTGTATTTCCAGAATAACAGGAACGAATTATGAATGAAAAAAGAGAACCTTTTGGCAGCAGTGGAGTTTATCCAGCCCCCATTTCTCCCTCAAAGGAGCAATGCAACTCTGTGCCAGTTATGTATGTCTATATCGAAATGCTGGGGATAAAATGTCCTACTATAGTGCTTTGAGCAAAATAGGCATTACTCAGATATTTGGTGACTGAATTGTGTAGCTGAACTGAAAGCCCTCACAAATGCTACTGGTACTGCTACATACTAGATAATATGACAGTCAAGGCCATGGGAATTATATGGCACTGGCTGCCCTGGTTCCATGAGGAGACGCAGTGAACTGGGCGGAGGAGATTTGGCCTAACAGCATTAAGCTCTGATGATACTGAAAGCAGCCCTCAAAAGGACAAGATTACTGGGTTATCTCTAAACCACCAAAGCAATATTGAAATATGTATGAAAATCATTTCCTACCCCCTGTCAGGGACAAAAAAAGCATTATCTTTTCTCATGCTGGTTTCTGGAGAGTCAGGGCTTCTTGTCCTATGACTGGTTGCTGGCAGGGGAGGAATAAGTCGACAAAGGGTTAAGGTTGCTGGGCAGTTTTTAAAATTCACAGCGCAGCCTAATGGTAGTGTTTCTCAACTGTGGTCCCTGGATCATCAGTAACAGACCAAGAGTGGGAGTGCCTGCTTAAACCCCAGACTTAGGGACCCATCACGAAACTCCAAAATAGAATAGGTTTTCTCATAGTGCGGAACTGGGCTTGTAAACCTGAAGACACTACTATAAAAAGCAAAGTTTTATTTAAAAGAAAATTGCTGGTTAAGGCTCTCCCCAGCTCTTCTGCACTCAGAGCCACGGATGAAAGCTGGCAATTTGCGGGTGGGCAGGGAAGGAAGAGGCGGAGGCAGGGCTGAAAAGACAGACCAAAATGCACTCTGCTTCGGTGTTCAGGAGGAAGTCCCACCAACTACCTAATTTTTAATGGAGCCAATGAATTGCCAGAAAAGCTGCGTCTGCAAATGTTTTGCCAGTCAACACTCCAGATTCTCGCCATTCCTCTCGGGCGGGATGAACCACCCGAGGCCTGCAAATAGCAATCAAGTTACACTTAAGCTGTGCCCACCACCTCGGCGCAGCGTTACCTCCCTCCCCTGAATCACCAGACTCTGCCCTTCGCGAGAAAACAGGCGCCCGTCACGCCGCTGCCGACACGTTCCTCGCGCCCAGCTTAGCCCCGCGGCCTTTCCACCCGGGGGTCCGAACTGCCGCCGCGCCCGGAGGAGACGCCCCCTCGGCCACAAAGGGAAGACTCGGGTCACACCTGCCGCCACACTCGCCCTGCCGGGTCTTCGCTCCCGAAACCGCCCTGCGCCGCCACTTACTCGTCGCTCCCTGCCGCGACGTCGCGCTCGGGGCCGGAATCCGCCCGGGAGGCGCGCGCAGGCCGCGCAGCCAGAAGCCGCAGCCGGGACCGGCTGTGCCGCAACGGCGCGCGCCCCCCGCCCCGGCCCGCGCGGCCACGCGGCTGAGTCACCCGGTGCTTCAAGTTAAGAGTCCCCTACGCGCGGGGCACGCCGGGAACTCCGTGTCGGGGGACCCCGCCCGAGGCAGCCCGGTAAATGGGCGTCGCCTTTCCTCCAGTCCACTCTGCACCCGACCGCTGCGGGCGCACTTTTCTGAGCTGCGCATATCCTCTCAATTATTAAAGGTCGCAGACGGAAAAGTAGGTAGTTTTCGGAATTGTAGAATAAGCTCGCGCAGAGCCAGGACAGCTAATGCTTACCCGAAAATGTGGAACCCAGATCTCCCCATGCATGGAGCGGGGTTGGAAGCAGCGTAGTAAAACTAATGGGGTTGCTTAAACGCATTTGCTCTAAAGTCACTACCCTGGATATACATTCTGGCCAAAAGAGAAAAAAAACCACATTTTCCTCAAATGATACCTGCTATGACAAAGTCGAATTACAAATGTTAAATCAACCAGAAGCAAGTTACTGGGAAAACTGATCTGTGTTATGAGTAAAATATTTCAACATTTCAAAAAACATCTATGTATGGTCCATGTCCTATAAACTGAATGCTGGAAAACCCAAAAGGAAGTTCTTACTACATGGTTTCTAGTGTCTTTTGCACTTTTAAAAATTACACTAGGCCGGGCCGGGCGCGGTGGTTCACGCCTGTAATCCCAGCACTTTGGGAGGCCGAGGCTGGCAGATCAACTGAGGTCAGGCGTTTCAGACCAGCTTGGCCAACCTGGTGAAACCCCATCTCTACTAAAAATAAAAAATGAGCCGGGTGTGGTTGTGTGTACCTGTAATCCCAGCTACTTGGGAGGCTGAGACAGGAGAACTGCTTGAACCCAGGAGGCGGAGGTTGCAGTGAGTTGAGACTGCGCCACTGCACTCCAGCCTAGGCAACAGAGTGAGACTCAGTCTCAAAAAATATATATATATAAATTAAATATTTATACTGACTATGCAAACTATTTGTAAATTGTTGTTGAAAGCTATATAAACTAGTAATAGCACAATTAAAAAAATTCTCAATCGATTTTCCTTTTCCTTAACAAGAGAGTCTGTAAAAACGAATTTGGGGCTAAGGATTAGCATTGGTGTTGAAGTGGAAGGAATGTAAGAAAATAGTTTCATTTCAGTAGGTTTCACATGGTTAACGGATACTTGTATAGCAAACTGGTTTTATCAGGGTCAAAAGCTTTTATTTTCAAAACTGAAGATACAGATTTTTTCATTATAATTTTGTCTTAGAGTCCTAGAGGTCATTTTCCATTTCTGCTCTTCCTCATTTATGACTGTAAAGTCTGCAGGACTGTGTTGTGTTTATCTCAACATGGGCTCGGCTGTGAGGCTGCACTAGTCACGTTCGTGTGGTGACTCAGCTTCTCTGCTGCTTGCATCTCTGGCTCTGCCATCCCAGCACTTCCGGACTGGCAGAAGAGCTAGATTGGAGAATCCTGTGTAAGGGCTCTCCTTTGCCTCTGCCTGAATGGCCTTTTCACTTCTGCACACGTTTCACTTGTCTGAACTAGTCACCTGGCTCAACCTGACTGACTCTAAGAAGGCTGTGAGATACAAGTTCCTGCCTGGAGAAAAGGAATATGAAAAAGATTTGGCTATAAACCAATCTGAATGTGTTATAGGCTCCAAACTTTACAACAGTAGCATAGAGGATTGTTCAAACTAATGCCTTTATTTCCCTTTCTGTAAAGTACAATGTTACAGCCTTTGAGTCAAAGGAAGTAAAAAAACCTTCTGATATTTCTGCAAGACAGTTCTTGAAACAAATTCTTTCTGGAAAGATTCCTCCCTGCAGATGTGTATATTGTCTTTCTTTTTGTCAACAGTTCTTGCTCTGTTGCCCAGGCAGGTCTTGAACTCCTAGGCTCAAGCTATCTTCCCGCTTCTGCCTCCCTAAGTTTGGGGATTACAGGCATGAGCCACTGCGCTAGCTGCAGATTTGTGGTATACAAAAATCTGGCCTGAAGTTTGGAGAATCAGGCTAACTACTGGGTCTTTTTTTTTTCTTTTCTTTTAAAAAAAAAAAAACAAACACTTTTATTTTGGAAATTAAAGCATACAGAAAAATGTAACAAATATCCATTATCCATCATCCAAAATAAATAAGTGAATACATGACTTTTAATTAATAGTTAATGGTTCTACTTTTGGCTAAAATTTCATATAATGAACATTATATGAGACTGGGTACCTTTTTTGGGCAGACATCAAAGAGATGGGATATGAGAAACGTACATTCACAGAGAGCATAGGTGTTTGCTGATTTTTATCATTTTATTTCTAATTTAATGTAGGTGTCTCTGAGATGTATTTGTATCAGAAGCCTAAACTCTGGTTTTTTTTGAGACAGGGTCTCCCTTTGTTGCCCAGGCTGGGTGCAGCAGCATGATTGCCACTCGCTGCAGCCTCAACCTTCTGGACACAGGTGATCCTCGCACCTCCCACTCCAAAATAGCTGGGACTACAGTCATGAACCACCATACCAACCTAATTGTTTTATTTTTATTTTTCGTCGAGATGAGGTGGAAAGGGGAAGTCCCTGCTCAGGTAGTCCTTCCAGTTTGGCCTCCCAGAGTGCTGGGGTTACAGGCTTGAGCCACCGGGCCCCTACAGTAACCCTTTCTAATGTCAGATTGGCAGACTTGGAGTTTTCAGTTGATGTAATGACGATACAGTTCATCTGATTTGCTGAGTTATTTAAGTCTCCTTAAACAGCATCTACTACTAGTAAAATTACAAAGCACTCATCCCAACATTTTATAGCATTTAGGCTTCTTAACAACCATATGAGATAGATTTTATTACTCAGTTTTACAAATGAGGAAACCAAGAAATGAATATGTGAAGTGTTTAAAGTCATTAAACTACTAGCTAGATGGTGCTTGTGGGCTGAGAACTCAGGTCATCTGATTCCAAAGTTCTTGTTCACCATATACTAAGTAGTGACAATTCCAAACAACTAATTTAAGGTTGATTCTTAAGAATAAAAATATTTTTAAAATAATAGCTATTGTAAATTGTCATACAAAAAGCTAATTCTCATTTCTACTGAGTAATCTTATGTGGTAAATGTAAAAGCAACCCAAATCTCAAGGTTTTGAACTATCTCTCTTTAAATTTGCTAAATGTTCATTTTGTTTTGTTTTGTTTGAGACAGGGTCTTGCCCTATCCCTCAGGCTGAAGTGCAGTGGTGGGATCATGGTTCAATGCAATCTCAGCTTCCTGGGCTCAAGTGATCCTCCCACCTCAGCCTCCTGAGTAGCTAGGACTATAGGTACAGGCCACCACGCCAGACCTCCCGAAGTGTTGGTATTACAGGTGTGAGCCACTGTGCCCCACCTATGATAAAAAGTTTTTTGTTTTTTTTTTTCCTGTCAAGCTGTTCTTTATTTCAGGGAGAGGGCAAGGGCTGGGGCTCAGTCTTTCTTGGCTTTCCTCATGGTGGCCAGGACATTGCTGAGCTCTTCCTGCTTCCTCTTGGCGTGGATGTGCGTTCCCACCCATATCTTGATGAACTTGAGGGCCTGTTTGATCTCGGAGACCTTCAGTAACTCCAGGGCGTGCTGCTCGTATGGGGTGAAGCCACACACCTCTCAGATCATGTCCCACACGAACTTGGTGTATTTGGTCAGGTGCTCTCAGTGGCGGCTGTGCCTGGGCTTGCTCACATTCTTGGTCACCTTGTGGCCCTTGTTGAGGCCCACGGCTGTAGGGTAGCACAGAGCCATGGCTGCTGCTCTCCGAAGGCGGCCATGACAGAAGGGCTCGATAAAAAACATTTTAGATCAGCCCTACTTGAGAGCTGAAATACATGTTCTTCATAACCACCTATTTGCAAATGTATCCATTTTCTTTTCTGGGACAATATTAAGCTTAAATTACTCTAAAAGAAAAATGCTTTAAGAAAAAACAAATCTTTGAAAAATAGTCCACATGCGCCATTGCACTCCAGCCTGGGTAACAAGAGCAAAACTCCGTCTCAAAAAAAAAAAAGAAAAGAAAAGAAAAAGAGTCCACACTGTAATACAATTTTGGAATTCTATTTAGTCTGTCTTTTTTTTGAAAGGTAATGAGCAAGTAAGTAGTAGAATGTATTTTGAGTGTCAGAGGAAAGGTAAATTGGAAGGATGAAAGATAAGGAGACTTGTCTCCAATAATAGCCAGGAAAGTAATCTATAAACATTTCCTCTTGAAATTTTGATGAGGGCATAGCTCCCTCCCTTTTCCATCCACATGCCAGGACAATTCACCTCAGAGCTATATGACTTTTAAAAATCATATTAATGAATGCTCAGTTTAAGATTCAAAAATCAAATAAACCTTTGTAAATAAAAGTCCTGTGTGGACTCAGGAAATGTGGAAATGTGTTACCCTGGGCTTTGGCAGAGGCTGGGTGTAAACTGATAATGTTTATCTCTTGTTATTCCTGTTACTGGTTTACAAACAGGCTCTGACGGCTCACATGACCTCTTGTTTATGAACACACAAGTCTCATTCTTGAAGCTAATACTGAGAATGCTGAGAAGTTTTTTTTGAGATGGGGTGTCTTTCTGTCACCCAGGCTGGAGTACAATGGCACAATCTTGGCTCACTGCAACCTCCACCTTTCAGGTTCAAGCAATTCGCCTGCCTCAGCCTCCCGAGTAGCTGGGATTACAGGCATGTGCCACCACGCCCAGCTAATTTTGTATTTTTAGGAAAAATTAAGCACTTTGGGAGGCTGAGGCTGGTGGATCACTTGAGCCCAGGAGTTTGAAACCAGCCTGGCCAACATGGTGAAACACCCACTTGTACTAAAAATACACAAATAGGTGTGGTGGCACATGCCTGTAATCCCAGCAACTCAAGAGGCTGAGGCATGATAATTACTTGCAGCTGGGAGGCAGAGGTTGCAGGGACGACTTTCTGCCCCGGCATTCCAGCCTGGGTGACAGAGTGAAACTATGTCTCAGGAAAAAAAGTCGCCTTCTCAATAAGGCCTTCTCTTAACATCTCTACTTAACATTGCAAACCTCAACATTCCTTATCCCTTTCCTTTCTTAATTTTTCTCCAAAGCATCTATGACTATTTGATAAACTACATACTTTATTTGTGTAGATACTTTTTGTCTCCCTTACAAACTCCATGAGATCAGGAATATTGTCTCTTTGATCACTCCCATATCTCCAGTACTTAAACAAAGC